CTATTTTTTTATGTATGTTTGACTGATAAATACTGAAATTCTTTTTACTTTCAAATGCTGAATTCAGGGGGTTATGGCTGTGCTCTTGTTACCAGATGAGATATCATTTGATCCTGTGATTCTTCAGGACAAGATCTTGATGCCATCCACACCCAGTACATGACGAAGGTGAGTTTCACAATAGCTATATCACCATCACAAACCAAGAGGCCAAACACAACAGGCCTTCATCCATATGAACTCACCCATATGTAGGAATAGGTTCCGAAACCCGGTATTAAACATTAAACGGGCCCTGGGGCCAAATTAAGGAAGACTGCAGTATCGATAAGCTCAGATGTTATCAGTTCTGCTGACGGTACTGAAGAAATTACACACACACTATTTATTATAGACATTATCTTGTGTCATTGTCATGTGTTTTTCAGGCTGGTTGTTTGTCATTTTGTAAGAGTAGAGAGAGGCTGTACCTCAGTGAAGACTTATTTTACATTCGATAATTCAATTTCCGTACCTGATAAGTTAGATTTTCCGAAAAAACTTCATGCACTGCTTATTTCAATTGTATTTTTCTTCTATTGAATTTATCAATAGTAATTTGTTATAATTTTCAATGCAGATTCACTCAATAATCTCTTGAAATTTGTTTTTATATCGCAATATATATAGCAGCAGATAAACAAAATATTTTATTTAAGGTTTTTAGTATTGTGCAGCTCTAATATTGAGCATTTAACCTGATTGAACCTGGAATTGTTATAATAACCTGGAATAATTTGTGATACCAGATGTATGATTATGTATGATAGATTTTGAACTGTATTTTTTATTTTATTTTTTTTGCAGGTTTTCTGGGATCCACAGTGGAAGGCATCAAGGCGTGAGATGTTGGCTGGACAGATGTACCTGTACACCACACCGACCTCTGCTTTTACATGGATGGCGGATTACTATCATGTTCTGTAAAGGTTTCATTATAGCAAAACAGAGCACCTGTGACAGTGGAATCTGTAGGTGTAACGTAGTCAGTTAAAAGTAGTCCGGTGTAAAGTAGTCACAGAGAGAACGTTTTTTTTTTTTTTAAGTTTCAAACTTTTTTCTCTTTCACAAAAAACACTGCAGTTACAGCTTTTCAAATTATTCATTGGAGGTGTACAAATAATTTTCTTTTTTTCAAATCACAAAAAGGGCTGTGCAAAAATTTATTGCAATTAATCGCATCCAAAATAAAAGTCTGTGTTTACATAATATATTTGTGTGTGCTGTATATAATTATTTTGTATATATAAATACCTATGCATGCATGTATACATTTAAGAATTATTTGCACTTAAATTCTGTGTGTATATATATATATATATATATATATATATGAATACATAATCTATATTATATAAATATAAATATTTTATATATGAATAACACATTTTCTTAAATATACATGCATGTGTGTGTATTTATATATACAATATAGGGCTGTGTAACGATTAATTGCATCAACAATAAAAGTTTGTGTTTACATGATATATGTCTGTATAATTATTTTGTATATATAAATACACACATATGCATGTATATATTTAAGAAAAATGTGTTATTGATATATCAAAGATTTATATTTATGTATAATATTAATTTTGTATAAACATATATACAGTACAAACATGCAAATATTTCTTAAATATATACATGCATGTGTGTGTATTTATATATACAAAATAATTATACACACTACACAAACGTATATAATTTATGTGAACACAAACTTTTATTTTGGATGCGATTAATCGTTTCACAGCCCTAATACAAAATAATTATATACAGCACACACAAATATATTATGTAAACACAGACTTTTATTTTGAATGCGATTAATCGCAATTAACTTTTGCACAGCCCTGTAAGAAATGTATGCTGACATTTAAGGCACGGCCACACGGGGTTTGAGCATATGTGACTGTGAATGAAAAGTGAAGTGTGACCACATGAGAATAGCCAAACAGTATAGATGATTCACAAAATTATACACCAAGAAATGTGCATAATTGGCCAAAATGTTACTGTTTATCAACAAAAATATGACCCTATGAGTTTGGTAATTTTTAGAATAGGAACTGATGTTTTGTGTAACTGATGTGTTGTGTTTGTGAGAGAGAGAAAGCAAAGAAAAAGAGGTTTGCAACTCATAAAACATTTTCTCGAAGACTAAAAATCTACAAATTGCACTGTTATAGGGACTCTGTTTAGCTTCAATATTACTAGATATAATACAGTGTCAATCTTATTAACTACTATTTATTTTGTATAAAATCATATACAGTATACAGGTAAAAAATTTGGAAACATTTTGGAAGAAGTCTATTCTGCTTATCAAGCTTGCATTTATTTGCATTTATTTAAAAAAAAAAACAGTAATATTGTGAAATTTTATCATAATGTAAAACAGCTGTTTTCTATGTTTCTGTTTTTTATGTGAATATATAATAGTGTAATTATATTA